TCAGTTGAAGATCGAACTCTGAACAAGTCAGAACCTTCTTGAATTTTACGAAAGCTGGTCGAGCTTGCTCAATGCGACATTTTACTTCCCTGTCCGATGCCCAGTCTTCAAAAAGCCACGATTCCAGGTATTTAAATTTACTCACTCTTTCAATGGATTTAGTATTCAGTGTTATGGTGGAGTTTTCAAGTGCATCCAAATTTCTGGATGATCATGAATTTGGTCTTTTTGGTATTAATCTCTAATCCCATTCGCTTACTGTATTCTCCGATTATACTGACAAGTTGTTGAAGATCGACTATGTTGTCACAAATTAAGACACCATCATCAGCATATCGTATGTTGTTGATCAATACTCCATTCACCTTGATTCCCATCTCTGCATCCTCCAAAGACTCTTGAAATATGGCTTCCGAATAAATTTTAAATAAAAGAGGGGAAAGCACACATCCCTGTCGAACGCCTCTTCTTATATGTATGGGCTTGGATATAGAATTGTCTTTTGTTTGGTACATTGATTATGTGTATAATTTACTACATATATTATAACCTTACGTTACTTTTGCTAATAGCCTGCTGTATGTTCAAATCATTAATAATTTTGGTGGTATCAATAATACTGGGGTATCAGCTTATACTGACAATGATGAAAAAAATAACTAGCAAACTGAGACTTCTCCAGATGTCTCTTATTATTAATATGTCCGAATTCTTGAAAACATTTTTATGTTAAATACATCTAAAAAATTTTAGTACAGAGATCTGGAAGTAGAGATAAGGAGACAATTAAAAATCGAAAGTACCCAGACAATACCTATTATTCTATAAACTACTGGTGTTATTACGAAAAACCTCCTAGAAAACATAACAGCTGGGACTAAGTGAACACTTGTATAAGACCCTGCAGAGAGCTGTACTACTCTCTCCAGATGTGTGTGGAGATCAATAATACGAAACGAGTCCTAACAGAGATCAATCCTTTTGATACCGTAGGTATCTGGGATAAGTGAATGTTCCCCTTAGAGGGAGTATGAGCCATATGACTATATCTTGTATACATTTTAGATAGTACTTCTTAAAATGCTCTATATGCGTATATACTTTATAACCAACAGGGTAGTGTGCCCAGTAATTTATTATAGGTCTTCAGAGACCTAGACGACAGGTAAAACTCAGAACAATACAATTGGTATTGGATGTGGTCGCAAGCACAAGAATTGAATACTTTACAAAAATAATTATTTTGGAAAGTGTGTAATTGTTTAACTACCATGATCATTTTTTTAAAGCACTTCTGGAAGATTTCTACACATCTATAGACTTTAATTTTCTACCTCAATCCATGCTAAGCCATATTTTCTATAGAAGTTTTTATCGATCGTAAAATAAAAGTTTTCCTAAAATTTGATTTACTTTTTTTACTTAATATTGTTCTGAAGCTATTTTCTTGTGGCATTGTAAATTAATTACTATTTATAACTGGGAATAAGCCACAATTAAAGATAAAAATACGTTTATTGACGTTTCAATTTCCAATTCGGAAATCGTTCTCAAAATACAAACAGTAAATTAAACAAATTTTGTTTTTTGTTACATAGTGAAAAAATTCTTCTAATAATTTAATTTTATCTGACTCATTTATATTGACAATTCAGACATACATTATGCATTTTAAAGTAGACGACTTTAAAATGATATTGCCAATATTGTTGAGTTGCGCTCCTGGGACGACTTTACTTATAAGATAGTTCATTCGATTACATGAAATCAACTTTAACTTGAGAATATCCGTCAGAAAAAATCATAGCATGTAATTCGTCTTTAAAAAGACAAACACATGGCATGATGACAGTAAAATTCTCTTGTTAGTGATTCCATAGTAAATTATGAGGGAAAAACCAGGAAAAAAACCTCATAATACTATCCCGACATCGTAAGTATTTGTTCGTAAATTTAGTTTACCTTCAACAAACATCAAAATTCTGATTTTATATGTTACGTTATTTAAAAAAACATAAATGATGTATCCTCTATATGTTACTTACTTACTAATACTGGTATTTTCTTATTAATAACTTCCTCTTTCAATATTGGTAACCAGATCCTACTACATTCTGCCGAGGAATTTGCGACACAATTGGCCTCATTTAGCATAATTAGAGCCGCTTCTTTGATTTTTCTTTTTTTACCATCCGTTTCTTTTAGGACTATATTTGAATTATTCCATTGAACCCTATGTTCATTATCCCATGCGTGTTTACATATTTGAGATCTATCAAATTCTCTATTTTTAATATAAGATTGATGTTCACTTATTCTAACATTTAATGGCCTTGATGATTCACCTAAATAAAACTGATCGCATTCACAAGGTATTTTATAAATGCAATTCTTTGTCCTTTCTTGTTGATTGTTAGGTTTGGTTTTGGACAAAATAGATCTCAACGTGTTTGTTGTTTTGAATGTTGTTGAAATGTTGAATTTATTTCCTATCCTTTTAAGTTTTTCTGATAACCCTTTTATGTACGGTATTGTTATTTTCCTCATATTATTCCTTGTGTATGCTGTAGGATCTCGTTCTTAGTTGTTCTGTTCTATTCGATCGATTGTTGAAAATTCCTTATTTATAAACGATAAAGGATAATCATTTTTTAATAAAACATATGTTAACAAATGTTTCTCTTCCAAGAACGAATTTTCGTTAGAACAAGTAATTTTGGCTCTATCGTATAAGGATTTAATTATTCCCTTTTTTTACATTAATATTGTGATTTGATTTGAAATTTAAATATCTATTGGTGTGTGTTGGTTTTCTATACACCTGAGTCTCATATCCAGTATCGTTCTTAGAGATTAAAACATCCAGGAAAGGTAACGTGTTATTATATTCCTTTTCCATGGTAAATGTTATTGTCTCTTCTTTATCGTTTATATCGTTTAGGAATGTGTCCAACAACTCTGATCCATGAGGCCATATTGAGAATACATCATCTACATACCTCCACCATACTGTGGGTTTGAAATTTTGTTTAGAAATGATATTTGTTTCAAAATCTTCCATAAATATATCGGCTATAATGGAGTTATTAACATTATGTACTGATAATACATATTTTCAACTAAATAATGAATTCTATAAACAAAATTTTGGTCTAGCAATGGGCTCTAGTTTATCTCCATTCTTAGCCGATACATTAATGGAAGATTTTGAAACAAATATCATTTCTAAACAAAATTTCAAACCCACAGTATGGTGGAGGTATGTAGATGATGTATTCTCAATATGGCCTCATGGATCAGAGTTGTTGGACACATTCCTAAACGATATAAACGATAAAGAAGAGACAATAACATTTACCATGGAAAAGGAATATAATAACACGTTACCTTTCCTGGATGTTTTAATCTCTAAGAACGATACTGGATATGAGACTCAGGTGTATAGAAAACTAACACACACCAATAGATATTTAAATTTCAAATCAAATCACAATATTAATGTAAAAAAGGGAATAATGAAATCCTTATACGATAGAGCCAAAATTACTTGTTCTAACGAAAATTCGTTCTTGGAAGAGAAACATTTGTCAACATCTGTTTTATTAAAATGATTATCCTTTATCGTTTATAAATAAGGAATTTTCAACAATCGATCGAATAGAACAGAACAACTTAGAACGAGATCCTACAGCATACACAAGGAATAATATGAGGAAAATAACAACACCGTACATAAAAGGATTATCAGAAAAACTTAAAAGGATAGGAAATAAATTCAACATTTCAACAACATTCAAACCAACAAACACGTTGAGATCTATTTTGTCCAAAACCAAACCTAACAATGAACAAGAAAGGACAAAGAATTGCATTTATAAAATACCTTGTGAATGCGATCAGTTTTATTTAGGTGAATCATCAAGGCCATTAAATGTTAGAATAAGTGAACATCAATCTTATATTAAAAATAGAGAATTTGATAGATCTCAAATATGTAAACACGCATGGGATAATGAAAATAGGGTTCAATGGAATAATTCAAATATAGTCCTAAAAGAAACGGATGGTAAAAAAAGAAAAATCAAAGAAGCGGCTCTAATTATGCTAAATGAGGCCAATTGTGTCGCAAATTCCTCGGCAGAATGTAGTAGGATCTGGTTACCAATATTGAAAGAGGAAGTTATTAATAAGAAAATACCAGTATTAGTAAGTCAGTAACATATAGAGGATACATCATTTATGTTTTTTAAATAACGTAACATATAAAATCAGAATTTTGATGTTTGTTGAAGGTAAACTAAATTTACGAACAAATACTTACAATGTCGGGATAGTATTATGAGGTTTTTTTCCTGGTTTTTCCCTCATAATTTACTATGGAATCACTAACAGGAGAATTTTACTATCATCATGCCATGTGTTTGTCTTTTTAAGGACGAATTACATGCTATGATTTTTTCTGACGGATATTCTCAAGTTAAAGTTGATTTCATGTAATCGAATGAACTATCTTATAAGTAAAGTCGTCCCAGGAGCGCAACTCAACAATATTGGCAATATCATTTTAAAGTCGTCTACTTTAAAATGCATAATGTATGTCTGAACTGTCAATATAAATGAGTCAGATAAAATTAAATTATTAGAAGAATTTTTTCACTATGTAACAAAAAACAAAATTTGTTTAATTTACTGTTTGTATTTTGAGAACGATTTCCGAATTGGAAATTGAAACGTCAATAAACGTATTTTTATCTTTAATTGTGGCTTATTCCCAGTTATAAATAGTAATTAATTTTTTTACTTGTGGTATCATGACTTCACTTGTTAATAAAGTGTGGTATATTAATGCTTTCTGTGAATAAGAAACATGAACTATAAATTATTTATAAATTTACATATCTCCATAATATAAGTAATTTAAAATACACTTTTAATTTACATTTTAAGCTATAACAAATTAATTATACCTTTAAAATACTACAAATTTTTTTTAATTCCAGATTAGGAAACTCAGCTAACCAAAGAATTGCTTTTGTATCACCGCAAAGTGATAATTACTACCTAAGAAGACCAAACCGTAAAACCGATTATAAGGTTTTTCACAAAATACCATCGTCTTCCCTTCTTCTAACGAGTTATGATCCCTTTTACAGGTAAATCAATCAATTTCATTAAATAAAATAATTTACTTTTTAGTTTAACTTACCTTCTTTTCTGTGCTAATAACAGCCTTACTCATTCCAAGACATCCAAACAGCAATGGAAGAGAACTCTCTGTGTATGACAAGGTATAGACACAGCTTGGCTCAGTATTTAAGTTATGAAATTAATGAAGAATACCTCTGAACGTAACAAAAACAAAGTTAATGATATTCAGACGCGTCAAAACCTTCAAAACCAAACAGATCACCTATATAAGGCTCAATAAAGACAAACTCAAATTCAGACCGTCAGTATCCTACTTAGTTGTTGAATTTTCAATGAAGCACTGATATCAAATCACTGAAGCCCAAAACAGGTTAAGAAACAGAGTCAACCCTCTAAAAGTATTAAGTGATAAATTTGAGAACGCTTACCATGTTACCCTCCTTTACACTTATAAAACATACATCCGGCCAATAATCGAATACAGAGCTATATTCTACCTATCCATCAACAAAAGAATAATGAATTCAATTCGAATTGAACGAAAATGTCAAGGACATGTACTTACCAGGCACCCAAAAACCAAAGTTCGTTTTTTGTTAACTAAACTTTTAAATTTAGTAGGCAACCAACTTATCAACAAGTTATTTAACACTCTCGAATCAACCCCCATCTAGTATATGGCAGGTAACCACTTGTATGAGGGGTGGTGGTCTAAAAGTTCGAAAGATATCTAGGTTCTCGAAGGTGGGCAGTGCGCCTTCCAGGCTCGGTTGTGCAGGATTCCTCCAACGTGACCACGGTGATATTTAAGACCGTACGCAGGGGTTGCTCGGACACTATCACCGTTAATGTGAGAGACCTATGTGCTAAAAAACATCCTCCTTAACTGTGAATTACCGGCAGTAATTACGCCCTGATTAAGACGTTACGTCGGAATATCATTCACCCAATCTCTCATTCACAGACAATTCTCATGCATTATTGCACTGTCTTATTATTCGCTTTTCTTCTTGTTTTGTTTTCCTCAAAGTTCTATTTACATATCTCTGAACTGCTCTCCATTGATATAATGAATTAGGCATATACATCACAAGTTCCGTGATTGATTGTACCCTACTACCTACCTCTTTCTTAAGCACGGTCCTTTTGTTTATCCATCTATCGCATACTAATAGATATTTGCTGCCTTTCCAAATTTGTAAGGGTTTGACTTCTCATTTCTTTCCATTCCTCTTACCACACCACACTCTTCCTTTATTTATTTTTTAAACGTTCTGTTGCTACGTCTTTATTTCGTTTGTCGTATATTCTTTCCCTTTCCTTCAATAGCACTTGCATCAAAATACACCTGGCGATAACTCTCAGCGCATCGGCAGAGACTGTTCTGTATGCACATGCCACCTAAAAAGACTCTTTCTATCTGCTGGAGTGAGCTGCTTTTTGTACGCTTTTGTTAAAACTGCAGTACCCCAGACAGCAGCAGCGTAGAGGACAATCGATTGCACAACAGAATGAAGGGCCCTTATTTTGGACCCTCCAGTGTTAGGCATGACTGTTTCTGCCCCTCATTATAACGCAGCAGTACTAATAAAAAAAATATAAAAGCAGCAATAATTAAAACAGCAAATGAAAACTTAAAACCAAAGAATAGAAAACATAAAGATTGGATGACTGAAGAAATACTACTATTAATGAATGAAAGAAAATCATTCAAAACAAAAAATCCAATTAAATATAATGAAACTGATCGATTAATAAAAAAGAGAATAAAAGAAGCTAAGGAGAGAATGTTACATGAGCAGTGCCAAGAACTAGAAGAAATTGAGAAAAAATATGACTTTTTAACATGCATAAAAAATTAGAGAATTAACAGGAATGAGAAAAACACTTCAAACTAGGCAACTAAGAGATGAAAGGGGTGCACTTATAACAGATATAAACCAAAAAATGCAGAGATGGACACAATATATAGCACAACTATTTGAAGACAAAGAGAGAACAGAAGCACCAAAAGAATTTAAGGATGATACTGGGCCTGACATTACTTACTTACTTACTTACTCCGTGGCGTTACAACCCTTCGTGGGTTTTAGCCGACTCGACAACATGCCTCCACTGTTTTCTGTCTTGAGCAACCTCCATCCAATTCTCCACGCCCATAGTGCTTAGGTCTCCTAATAGGGCCTGACATTATACGAGAAGAAATTGAATATGCAATGAAACAAGCTAAAGATGGTAAATCTCCCGGGCCTGATGAAGTTCCTATCGAATTACTTAAAATTGTGAATACTGAATCTATTGATCTTCTTTTGGATCTATTCAATACCATATATAGAACAGGTATAATACCTAAAGAATGGCTCCAATCAACATTCATACTGCTTCCAAAAAAGCCAATGCAAAGGAGTGCAATGAACATCGCACCATAGCCTTAATGAGTCATGTCTTGAAATTGTTTTTTAAAAGTAATTCACAATAGAATACATAAGAAATTAGATGAAGGCATAAGTAATACACAAATGGGATTTAGGCAAGGACTGGGAACACGAGATGCACTGTTTGCAGTAAGTGTTCTTTCGCAGAGATGCTTAGATATTAATCAGGAAGTATATGCCTGTTTCATTGATTTTGAGAAGGCATTTGACAGAGTGCAGCATAATCGACTTAAAGAAATTTTATTAAATAAAAACATAGACAGTAGAGACATTAGAATCATCTGTAACCTCTATTGGAATCAAACAGCAAAAGTGAAAGTTGAAAACGAACTGACCAAGGATATCCAGATTCGCCGTGGGGTCCGCCAAGGGTGTATTTTATCACCCTTATTTATACAGTGAAGCCATCTCAGAATTAGCGCTTGCCGAGATCAGTGAGGGCCTTATAATAAACGGTGAGCCACTTAATAACATAAGATATGCTGACGACACCGTCCTTTTGGCAGGAACACTAGAAGAACTGCAACACCTTGCTGAACAACTAAATATATATTGCAACGATTATGGACTAAAAATCAATTTGAAGAAAACCAAGTTCATGGTATTTACAAAAGCACAAAACATCAAAGTTAAGCTAGTACTAGATAATACAGAAATTGAACAAATATCTTCGTACAAATACCTTGGAGCATGGATCACAGAAGATACTGATCAGACAAAAGAAATAAGATGCCGCATTGAAATTGCGCGGTCAACTTTTAATAGAATGAGAAAAACTTTTTTGTAATCGCGATATCAATATATCGCTCCGGATAAGAATGCTTCGATGTTATATTTTCTCTACCCTCTTGTATGGAGTTGAAGCTTGGACACTTAAAAAATCCAACATTAAAAACCTAGAAGCATTCGAAATGTGGTGTTACCGACGCATTTTGAAAATATCATGGATGGATCGCAAAACAAACGAACAAGTTCTCGAACAACTAGGAAAATAATGCGAAGTTTTAAATTCCATAAAGATCAGGAAATTGGAATACTTGGGGCACATCATGAGAGGTGAAAAGTACGAACTACTAAGGAACATAATGCAGGGTAAAATCAAAGGTAGAAGAAGCGTAGGAAGACGTAAAATCTCGTGGCTACGCAATCTCCGTGAGTGGTTTGGATGCAGTTCAATTGAACTATTCAGGCGAGTAACCAATAAAATTATAATTGCCAGAATGATTTCCAATCTCCGATAGGAGTGGAACTTGAAGAAGAAGACTAATGTGCTTCCCCTACCTTCCGTTTGGACTCAGAGTGACATCTAAATACCTTACTCATTTATTTGGATCCACTTTCTTTCCTAGAGTTTAGTTAGCTAGATTTTTTTTATTTTAAGGTACTCACAAGTAGTTTTTGATAAGTGAAAAACCACGAAATAGGAGAATGGTAAGACTCGAATGGAAAAGAAATATCACCTTTTGTATATTTATATCTGTTTCATAATATATCATAGAAATTTTATACGTATAATTTTAAACACATTGCAGTCCTCTTCTCTCCCGATTGGACGCTATCTTTCAACAACTTGGCCTCGGGACCGACAAGTCACCTGGGACGGAAAGGTGTCGAGAACGCCTGGTGTGCATGATGTACGCTAATCCGACCAAATACGCACCCTACAGCAATCTGGTTTCGGCACAACTCAGCAGGTAATATTAAAAATTTATTTTAATACACTTTTTCAGTTAAACTTCTTGGAAATTTACACCAAATTGATAAATATATGTTCCCATGATAGGTGTTACGAAAGATTTGGAAGACTATCACTACACTGTAAATTGTTTGTTCTATTTTCTAAAAGTTTTTTTTTTATTTTATTTTATTCGCATCAACCACTGGGGTTATTAGCAGTAGGCTTATGATACAAATAGAGAAAATAAGTTACATTTTAAAGTCATGACTTACAACAATATGGTACAATGTATATATATATATATATATATATATATAAATATATATATATATATATATATATATATATATATATATATATATATATGTATATATATATATATATATATATATATATATATATAAGAGTAAGAAAAAACAGTGTTATATATATATATATATATATATATATATATATATATATATATATATATATATATATATGTCCAGTACATGTAACAAAATTTAAATCATAATTTACTATAGAGTGTACAGTAATTTAAAAAAGACAGAACTTCATTGAATTTTGTAACCAGTGCTTCTTTCCGGTTGTTGGGTATCTTGAATATCGCCTGGGCTGAGGTGATCTCTGGACATTCTGTTATTATATGGTTGACTGTGAAAGGTGTTTAGCATCTTTGGCACATTGGTAGTGGTTCCTTGGATATTATGTAGCCATGCATAATCGTGTATCCCAAGCCGGAGTCTGCTGATAATTACCTGGTCGTTTCGTTTTGGTGGTATCGGAAGATTTTTTGAAAATACTTCTGGTTTGATCCTTTTAAGATTTGTGTTTGTTTGATCCCATATTTCTTGCCAGATTTTATTTACATGAGTCTTGAATAAAGTTTTAG